ATACTAACCCAATAGCATATCTTGAAAACTAGAGCCAATCAACAATTTTAAGCATCATTTTCGTTCTCAGTGACCCAGAATTAGTAAAGTTCGACTACATTTATTTCAGAAGCATTTTGGCTGTAGAGCAGTGTAATTGTTCTTTACTCTAGTTTAAACCAGTATGCATGCTACTGAAGTTAGGCTTACAGGCCTGTAATTGCCAGGATCACCTCTGGAGCTTTTTTAAAATTGGTGTTACATTTAGCTACCTTTCCAGTCATCTAGTACGGAGACTGATTTAAGTGATAAGTTATATATCACAGTTTTGCAATTTCATATTTGAGTTCCTTCAGAACTCTTGGGTGAATATCATCTGTCCTGGTGACTTATTATTATTTAATCAATTTGTTCCTAAATCTTTTCTTTTGACACCTCAATGTGGGACAGGTTCCCATATTTGTTACTTAAAAAGAATGGCTCACATTTTTTTGCAGTGAAGACCAATGGGAAGAATTCTCTGCAATGGTCTTGTCTTTCTAGAGTGCATCGTTAGCACCTCAATCATCTAGTGGCCCAATTGATTGGTTGGCAGGTTTCCTGCTTCTGATGTACTTGAATGTTTTTGCTGTTAATTTTGGTATCTTTTGCTTAGTTCAAGGGTGTTTTTTTTGCCTACCTAATTTTTCTCTTACACTTGACTTGCTGAAGTTTATGGTCTTTTCTATTTTCCTCAGTAGGATTTAACATTTAAAGGATGTCTTGTTGTTGTCTGTAACTGCTTCTCCTACTCTGTTTAGCCCTGGTGGCACATTTTTGGTTCTCTTAGTGTTTTGTTCTTTGTTTGTAGTACACATTTAGTTTGAGCATCTATTGTGGTGATTTTAAAAAGTTTCCATGTAGGTTGCAGGCATTTCACTGTTGCAACTGTTCCTTTTAATTTCTGTTTAACTAGCTTCCTCATTTTTGTGTAGCTCCCCTTTTTGAAGTTAAAAGCTACTGTGGTGGGTTTCTTTGGTATTTTCTGGCCTATGAGAATGTTAAATTTAATTACATTATGGTCGCTATTACTGAGCAGTTCAACTATATTCACTTCTTGGACCAGATCCTGTGCACCACTTAGGACTAAATCAAGAGTCGCCTCTCTCTTTTCTTGTGGGTCTTAGGGCTAGCTGTTCCAAGAACCAAAATGGTGTCTAGAAACTTCATCTCTGCATCTTATCCTGAGGTGATGTGTACTCAGTCAATATGAGGATAGTTTAAACCCCCATTATTATTGAGGGTGTGTGTGGGGTTTTTTTTTTTTTTTAGCCTCTCTAATGTCCTTGAGCATTTCAGTTATTGTCACCATTCTGGTCAGATATTCCTACTGCTAGAGTTGTCTTATTCAGGCATGGAATTTCTATCCATGGAGATTCTATGGTACGTAGTTGTATCAATATCCTCACTTAATACCAGACACTCAAGTTCACCCATCTTAGTATTTAGACTTCTAGCATTTGTGTACAAGCACTTATAAAATTTGTCAGTATTCAGTGGTCTGCCTTCATGTGATGTAATTGAATGGGACTCTTTTTTTGTTTGTTTGTTTGACTGTTCTACCTGTATTTTATCAACTTCTGTCCTGTCTTCTTTACCAGGATATAGAACATTCCCTTTAATAAACCCTCCCCTAAGAGACATCTGTCTGAATCATGTGCTCCTCTGTACTACTCAGCTTTCCCCCAGCCATTAGCTTAAAAACTCTGCACATATTTTATGTAAATGGGGGCAGTTTAGCCATAATGTACAAAGATAATTACTCAAAAACTCAAATAAAGAATTGTGAAATACCACCTTTGTTCCTAACCCAGGGTTAATGTTTGGAATTGACAATGCAGGTTTACTTTGAAAGCCACAATGATAAACTTTTGGGATTGTGTTAAAAATTCATTTTGTGGGATCTCAAACTGTTATAGAGCCCATTCAATTCATTGGCGGGGGGGGGGGGAGAAGGGGAGAATGACCATTTAAAGCAGAAATGCAGAACTGACATCCCTATACTTGATCCATAAAAATTTGAGCCCTGGATCCTGCAAACACTTAGGAACATGGTTAACTTTAAGCATGGGAATAGTCACATTGACTTCACTGTGATTAATGTTTAGCCAACATATAAAGACAAGATACTCAGATTCTTCACTCTCAATTCATTTTGAGCGTGCAAGTAAGAGTTGTAAACTTTATAGCATTTTTTTTCATATTGCAACTACAAAAAGAGTGGTCAGTACAAGTATTATTTGTCTACATTATATCTGGTTTAGAAGTGGGTTTTAAAGTCACTTCTGGACTGAATACCTAGAATGAAGTGCAACATATATACCAAAATACTTAAATATAGAATGAACGCACACAGGAGTACAATAGTTATACATTAAACACTGACCATATTTGCCAGAATAATAGATATAGCACCCCTTTTTGCCCTGGGCTGTCTTCTCTCATCCTAAAAAAACCAAAGCAAAATACATTCTACATCAGTGCTTCTCAAAGCCGGTCCGCCACTTGTTCAGGGAAAGCCTCTGGCAGTCCGGGCCGGTTTGTTTACCTGCTGTGTCCGCAGGTTCGGCCGATCACGGCTCCCACTGGCCGCGGTTCGCCTCTCCAGGCCAATATGGGCAGCAGGAAGTGGCGCGGGCCGAGGGATGTGCTGGCCGCCGCCCCCATTGGCCTGGAGCGGCGAACCGCGGCCAGTGGGAGCCGTGATCGGCCGAACCTGCGGACATGGCAGGTAAACAAACCGGCCCGGACCGCCAGGGGCTCTCCCTGAACAAGCGGCGGTCCGACTTTGAGAAGCATTGTTCTACATTATGCTGTCCTTATAGCATAAGATCTATTGATATTTCTTACCTGTCCTCCTTTTGAAGGGGCAAAATTTTACCCTTACTTACTGTAAGGTGTGTTCTTTCTCTCAGAAGTAAGATTAAAGGCCATGCATCCACAAGGGATGTTCCTTCTCCCACCAAAATCCATAGTAACACTTCCGTTGCCTTCAGCGGGAGGAGAATTGGCACCAAAGACAAAGGGCAGTATTCACTGTTAGTGTAACTTCAGTGGAAGTTACTCTGCGGGCGAATTTGGCCCAGGAAATACTGTGTAAATTGCTGTTTTCTTGAACATCAAAGTAAGGGTCAGATTCTGCCACCCGTATTCACAATTTAGTATCTCACTGTGTTAGATTATTTAAGGCCCAGTCATAGGGAGAGCAGGGACTAATTACCTGCTACCGTCTACTTCAAGTGAATGGACAGGAAGGGACAAGGAATGGAAAGAACCCTGGCTCTGCCACCTCTCCTTCTCCTTATTGGCCAGGAGCACAGAGTAGGGGTGTAAATTGCTTCACAAAAAGGGGATGAATTAACTTACTCTCTGTCCAGAATAATAGTGGGGAAGGGGTGGAGTTGGGACTGAGTCATGTTTAATTCTCCGCTCTGCTCCTGAGGAACTGCCGCTTCCTCTACTCTTACACCAGGCAGATTATGGGGTTACAGTCTAGACCTTTGAATATCAGCGGGACTATGCATGGAGTACAGTGCTACTCATTGTGAGTATCAGAATTTAATCCTCAGTAAATGGTAAATCAGATCACTCCATGGAAGAAATAATTTGGATCGGTTTAAAGCTTTCCAGAAATGTAGCCATGCTTGGGCTATTCCTATACAAACAATTCAATTCACTGAAATCTGATCTTTTGTATTTCTGATAAAGACCCTATTTTGTGTCTTATTAATCTGTCTGAAAGCAGCCATAAATAGAGATTTAAAACGAATCAGGCAAATGCTCAGAAATAGAAAATACGAATTTATACTTTTTACTAGGTTTTCAATAATATTCAGGTCTTGTTTTTATAGTAAACTTGTCACAGAGCTGGTCAAGCTCCCCCTACTGGATGCTTACCAGACTGCTGGGAGGGTATCCAAATGTTGAATCTCATATGCCCGTGCTGGTGCTGGGGAGAGCTTAGGTATCCTCCTGGGCTTTGGACCTCTCGGCAGGGACTTCCCAGGTATAGGACCTTTGTGTCTGATACCTCTCTTGGCAGCGGGGACTTCGCAGCCCAATTGCCTAGGCCTGAAACTGGTGCTGTCTTTTTCAACTGTCAGTAGCGGCTCAGGCACATTTCCCAGAATTCCACCGAAGGTGTGAGCCTTCTGGTTTACAGTTTGACTTCAGGGGTATGTGATCGTCAAAGGAGACCGACAACCTATGCACAGGTTTCTAAACATTATTACTCTTTTTATATAGCCTGGGAGATACACAGATCTAGACAAATTACAAATTACATTTAACTGAGCATCCATTATCTGGTTCTCCTTATTAACTAAGCCACCCAGGGCTGTTATCCACCCCAGGCAGCTGGGGCTGGCACTGTTGTCCACCCTAGGATGACAGCAGAAGCCCCAGCCATCTATTCTCCAGTTTATCTGGATTTTTGGTTATCTGATCTGGCCCCAGTCCCAGTTAGATTAGATAATTGGGGTTCCACTGTAATAAACATTTGTATGCATTTTTTCTTGCCTCAGTTTCCTTACCACTCTGGTGAGTGCTTTGGCTTTGGGCAGAACAGTCTAGGGAGTCTAGGATCCTTCCTCTCCCTTCCCTCCACTTTCCTGCACATGGCTTCTCATCCAGAATAAGGAATCTCTGGTCTCTTCTACCTTCCCCCCCCCCCCCTCCCCTTTGATAGGTGACTCCTTGATCAGCTTCAGATGACCACAGATCTGATTAAAGCAGTTGTCCTGGGTAGGAACTAGCCTATTGTCTAGAGGGCTTCCTTTTGCTTAGTGGACCATCCAGACTTAATGTCTCTCTACTGTTTTAGCCCCATACCACTACCCCTTTGGAATTCCAGCCCAACATGGAGGTAAAAGTACAAAAGAGAAGGCAAACAAGCAGTACATTCAAAATGAAGTCTATAGCTGGATAAAGATGCACACACAATCAGAAATAGTACACAGATTCCCCCAACTTGTCACATCATGTAAAGAAGCAACATTTGTGTGTTTCTATCTTATGTACAAATAAGTACCAAATAATTAGTTTGGTATTTGTTACTTGGGGTATTTTTGGAATTTAACATTGATAATGTTGTTGTGTATATACAGGTACAGTAGTTGGAAAAGTCATTGCAGAAGACAGAGATGAACCTAATACCCTGCACACTAAGCTGAGATATCGAATTGTATCAGAACAACTGCCATTACCCCAAATGTTTTCTATTCACCCTGAATCAGGTGTAATTACCACACAAATACAACAACTGGATAGAGAGGTAACTTTTATCTACAGCATTATATTTAGCTTCACTTCACAACTCTGTATATATCTGCTCACAGAAAACTATGCAAGATTTTAATGAGACGAGAGAGGCACCATATATGGTTTCAAATTGTCTCTAATGATTTAGAAGCAAGAATCTTCCATAGCTTGGGGAAAACACAGATGAACAGGAGTCTGAACTTTTTTCTGCTTCCCTGATCCAATGTGAGCGTGTCAATTTTGCTTTGCTGCTCCAAACTCTGAAGTACCTTGTCAGCATCACTTGACTGTGCCACTTGCAAAGGGAGCTGCGGGTTCCTAGGCAAGCAACAAAGAGTGAAGAAACAGAGCAGTGGGGCTTAGGAGCAGACTATATTAAAGAAGGCTGCAATGTCCATACAGAGGGATATTGTGAAATAGCTATGCCCATCAATTTTAGACAAAGCCTTAGAAAAAGAATAATGTTGAGATTGTGGATATTGTGAATGAGAAATACTGGGGTGATGGCCATGGAAAGTGAATCTTGAGAGGAGAGTACCATCACTTATTTCCTACAGATGAATTTGAAGAGTTTATGAAGCAAAATTGTCCCCTCTTCCCAACAAACCAAATTTAGCCCAGCAAATCTAGGGAGCCCTAATCTACCAGATCCACTCTCTCTCAGGTGGTGGTAAGCATTTTACGGCTGTGACTCAAATTATTGTCCAGTTAAATGCTTTTTTTCCCCTCCCCTCAATGATCCTATCTGGATGTGTTGTCAGACCTTGCTGACAAGCATGCCTTATCATATCAAGACTTATCACAAGAGCACTTCCACTCTTTTACTCAAGATGTAACATGAGAGAGGTCAGCACAAGATTATGGAGTTACAAGATATACTGTTTTGCTCCATCCATGAGTAGTGGGAGAAGACAGTGGAAATCCCCTTCACCAGAAGGGTGAGAGAAAAGAGCAGCAACCAGTGGGTGAAGCTTTTCAGCATCAGAAGCCCCAGGAAGAGACAGCATAGTATATGGGAAACTTTCCCACTACCACCAGACAATAGTGTATCAGACTATGTAGAACTCCTTGCTGCTTTTCCCAGCAGACAGGTGTGCGTGTGATGGGGAAGACCTGGCTTCCGTGTGTGTGTGTGTGTGTGTGTGTATAATAAATATATATTATAGGGAAGAGGAGACAATTGTGGGTGTAGGACATTATAGAGATCCTTCTCTGGTATTCAACATGACTAATAGGTTTCTAGTAAAACTTTCTGAGCTCTGGTATTGCTTAGCCACTGAAAAATATTTTCCTTGTGTTTTTCACAGTTTTTTCTATTCATAAAGCTGGTTGTCTTATTTCTTTTATCCTAGAAAATAATTACATGTTTAACATATCTTTAGAAAGAAGGGGAAGGAAGTAAAGCATTTAATTCTGTAATAAAAGTGACAGACTATTACATGAATGTGAAAGTTTTATCTGTAACCATTTTTTTTGTTCATTTTCAGATAATAAACAGACATGTATTGCTAATTGAAGTACGAGATATGGACGGTCAGTCTTTCGGTTTGTGTAATACGGGAACAGTTGTCATTAACGTTGGAGATATAAATGACAATGCCCCATATTTTGGCCATTCATTTGTAAGTTTGTTTGTTGTTATGCCTCTGTCACAATTGTGGGGTTGATTGCACCTCCGTCCCTTTCTGGATTCTGAGTGCACCCCTTGAGGTGTTAGACCTCGTACCCTTACCTGTCTTGGAGTGGAATCTTGCAGTTTTCCCAGTCTTGCAGCAGAATCTGGTACAATACCCTGTCCATGCCAACAGGCCCGATGAGAGTTCAAACACCTGCTTGATCCTCTCTTCAGACAGCCTTCTGATCAGTGACGTACATTGACCAACAGCCTTTTTACAAGAAGTACATTTATTAGCAAATGGAACAAAGCATTAGATAAAACTGTTTCAAAATAATAAATAGTTTACATGCATATTTACTCTTCTCTAATCTTATGCTTCATTACAAACTAAATTTAGATGGGTTTTCCTATGGAATTACAGGAAAAGAACAGACCCAATATACATGTTTTCCAAGGAAACTAAGGAGCTCTTGGGATCTAGCCAGGACCCTGTTTTTCTCCGAGAGTGACTCTCCTGGACTGTTTATCCCATTCTCTGTGTTCCTGGTCTCCAAATACCATATTTCTCAACTATCTTTATTACAGGGCCTAGATGGGAAGTCTTTTTTAAATCATCTCAGACTGGATTCTCCCAGTCATCCAACCAGACCATCTAAGGGCTTGCCTACATAGGAAGTTATACTGGTATAAGGAAAAGAGTGAATTTAAGCCACTATAGTTATACTGGTATAACACCTCACAAAGGACACTCTTATTCTGGTACAAGATTACCTTTTTCTGGTTTAGCTCATGTCACTTTGGTAGCAGTTTAAACTATAAAGCTGCTGTAGTGAGGTTTTATGTTTTTGTTTGTTCTCTAAGTATTCCTTTTGGTGATGGCGAAATTCTCTGGATGAAATCCTGGCCCAAGTGAAGTCAATGGAACTAAGATTTCAACCAGTGAATTTTGCCTACGGTCACAGAAAGGGATGCTTAATGCTTCACTTAGAGGAAAAACAAATAAACAAACCCGAGAACCAAAACCTCATTACCAAAGTTTTACACTGGCCATTGGATTTAAGGCCTTGCATTTAAACACAATATAACTATTTCCTGAACTAAGTAATTGATACTGTAATTCATATTTATTTAATTTAAACAATAGATAATATTTATTTCAGTATGAAACAAAAGTACTGGAAAACCGAGTGAATGTGGAAATACTGAGAATTCCTTGTTTGGACAAGGATGAGCCTAACTCACCTGCCTGGAACTGTAGATTCAGCATTGTAAAAGGAAATGAAGATAATAATTTCGCTATTACAACAGATGGAAGAACAAATGAAGGGGTATTATGTGTTGTTAAGGTAAGCAAAGATGAAAACATCAGTCTAAAGTCTGTTTTTTAAAAAGCAAAACAAAAACCCACATCTAGTTTTCGCTTTTTTGTTGTAGCTATAAATTCTGTTTAGTTAATAACACATAATTGTCTGTTGGATTTTGGCTCTGCTTCCTCCCCAAATTGAACAAACAAATTCACCTGATATTTTTCTCAGGGTGTAATTTTTCTGGAAAATGTGTAGCAAATTGGACAACATTTTTAGTGAGATTTGATAAAATGTTTAGATGTTTCCCCTTTTTGACTTTTCCTAATGTTTTTTTGGGGAGGGAGTGGAGTAATTCATTTTAATTCTGTAATAGCTAGGCCCAAATTCCACATTTGGTTTAATCTGGTTTTGACAAGGAATGGTGCCTTTCACTAATTGAAACAGGACTACATCAACATGAACTAGGTACACTTTTTTAGTTCACACCAGCAGGGTCTATATGGAGCAGTTACAGCACAATGCTTTGGAGTGCCCTGCAATTCACATCCTGCCCCCCACCCTCATAGTTCAGATTGTGATGTAATGTAGACAAGCCTGTAAAGTGTACATTGAGACTAAGTGCCTAAAGAATGCATAATACTAATGTATAGTTTTGCAGGTTTACATCCAGTTTTCTTAGTGCTGATCTTTCTTCCATTTAAGTCAATAGGGGCTGGCTCAGGTTCTTAAGAGGTCTTCCTCTAAAAGATCATATAGTTTAATGGATTAAGTGATGGCTTAAAACCAGGAAGTCCTGAGTTCTTGTAGTATCTCTGCCAATGACTACCCTTAATAACAATACTTTGGTCTTATCCAGTATTGTTCTTTACAAATGTTTCGCTACAGTTCATAAAATTACGGTGAAGGAAGGAAATATTATCCTCTCATATTTTACAAAGGGGAAAACAAACTCATGGCGTTTAAGTAACCCATTCAAAACAGTCACTTAACCTTTGTTTCTTAACTATCTGTGTAATTTGGAGTGTGTAGGTAAATGATTCTTGCCTTTCTGCCTACTTGTGGCTGTATACACCTTAGTTCCTGTATATGCTCAGGTCTGTTAGATTTCCTCTGTAGGTATTATTTTACAGACAGGCAATATGAGACAAGACCCTTAACCTCTCTGTGTTTCCATTTCACCATCTGCTTTTTTGTTTGCTTAAACAATCATAAGTACCTCCCAAGGTGCACAGAAGGTTAATATGTACTTGGAAAATGTAAATCTCTGTTATGTGCAGAGAAGTATGGGTATGGCTTTAAAAAAAAAAAGTCATATTTTAACACACAGCACCCCGCTATGACCAAAGTGTACCAACTCACTTGAAATTTCTCGTAGTAGTAGACTATTAGCATCTACTTGCTGGCCCACACAGGATAACCTTTCTAACAATTCTGCTACAGCTAGTTTGGATTCTGTTTTAGCTTAAGAGTTAACACTATGCTTTCCCCATAATGTCCATACTTGCTGTATGGAACATGGCTTCATCGTATTTGTTCTCTTAAAGAGAAGAATTTCATATTGGAAAGTGTGAGGTAATCAAAGCATTTCAATAATTTTTTGTTTTATTTTGTTTTTTGTTCTATCAGTGTTTATCAGTATTTCTGAATGTGTAAAAGCAACCTGATATCTCTATTAGTGTTTATAAATGGGAGGCTTACAAGGTGAGAAATCTGCCATTAAGGACAGCCTAGATGCCATGTACAAAAAACAAAACAAAAAACACTTGTCATGCCAACTGCACTAGAAGTTCAGAGGCTCTTACCGTTGTTGAATTCTCACTAAGCACACACATGCATTTCTAATAGGAAAGAATTCTTGACTTGTGGCAACAGACAGGAAAGGCAGCAAGTATTCTAGGAAGAAAGTCAGGGCATGTCTACACTTCAGCAGCACAGCTGTGATGTAGCAGCTGTGGCACCATAGCGTAGAGGCTTCATACATCAATGAAAGGAGTTTTTCTACCAATGTAGGTAATCTACCACTTCAAGAGGCTAGGTGGATGGAAGGACTCTTGGGAGGTTAGGTCAACATATACACAGTGCTCAGGGTGCAAAATTGTTCACAGCCCTGAGTGATGTAGCTAGGGCAATCTAATTAAGTGTAGACCGACCATGCCTCAGTTCTAGAAATAAACATACTTAGTTTTTAACATAGCCCTTGGGGTGGAGAGCAGCCCAATAAAGAGTTACAAATATAACCATGTTTTGTGGTGCTGCTTATGCCATTCTAGGGATGCCTCTTCTTTTTCTTAAATAAGCTGGTACTTAGCACGTCCTGAAAATCAGGCCCCTTTAAGGTTTCTTAGGTGGGACACCCAAAATAATTAGTCCTTTTCTAAAATCCTGACCATGTTTGACTTTGTCTCTTTTCTCACCTCCGTTTTTAATAGTAAAAATGTATAGGAGGTTTTGGTGAATTTAATAGACCTAAATTTATTTTACAGGGATTGGACTACGAAACCACCAGTCTGAGGATACTTGAGATTGCTGCATCTAATGAGATACCTTATGCAGTAGTACCATATTCAAGTTCACTTTCCCAGAGCAGCTGTACTGTTAGAGTTACCATACTAGATGATGATGAGGGACCAGTATTCAGACCTTGTTTGTTTCCTATAACGATTGACGGATGCATGACAGTTGGAACAGTGGTTGGCAAATACCTAGCAGAGGATCCAGAAACAGGAAATAGTGAAGGCATACGGTATAAATAATTTTATTTTACTGGTTTATTAAATGTACAGCATTTTGGGGGATATGGGGAGATAAGCATTATACAATTATTTTTTAAACATTTTTATTTTTACTAGCTATCGGATAGCACCTGGCCAAAGCAACTGGATCACCATTGATGAAAACTCGGGCGAGCTCAGAACTGCTAAATTTTTTGACAAAGATATGGCAGGCAGGCAGTGCAATATTACAGTCATTGCAGTAGACCAGAGTGAGTACAAATGTTGAATATGTATAACTTATTTGGTCTATAAATGAATCGCACATGTTCGGGTGCGCACACAAATATTTATGGAACTGTGTCACATTAAACTATTTTCCTCTTAACCTGCAGTTGATTGTAATGGAGATAGGCTTTTTACCATTGCATTTTTTTAGGAGTGATAATTCCCCTCCCCCAATAGGAGGAAAAGAATAACAATCGTTCACAGAGACTGGGAGTAGCTGTTCTAGTTTTGAGCAACTGCATACAGCATTCAGGGCCAGATTTTCAAAAGTATTCATCACTCATAATTGGGGCCAGACTTCCACAAGAGCTCAGTTCTCATTTAAAATGCTTCAATATTTCTTTTGAAATATATTAAATCTGATACTTTCATTGGTGAACACTTTTTTTTTTCTTTTGGTTACCTTCCCTATTCCCAAATAACCTTCCTCCCCGCCAATCCCCTTAATAGTACCACAGACAGCCATGAGGTTGGCTGGTGGGGGCGGGTGGAATCAGGATGTCATTCTGTAAATACAAAATCCATGTAAAGCTTATTTTTAATCTTCTGTTTGATCCTTTGCAGTCTAACTGGGAAGCATATAAGTTAAGAGCACTTTTAAGAGTAACTTTGCTTTACTGTTTTGTTCGTGGTTTTTTTTTTTTTTTTCTATATTCTATTTGTTCTCTCTTCTCCAGTACCCTACTTAAGGCTAGATTCTGCAACATTTCTCCCAATAAGCTATACTTACTCAGATTAGTAGTCCCTATTTTATCTGGGGTTACTCAACCAGGTAAGTACTACTCATCATGCTTAAGGGTTGCAGAATCAGGTTCTCACTCTAAAACTGATTTTGGAGTTGAAAATTAACATTAAACTAAAAGATTACATGTTCTCTATTTTTTTTTATCCTAGGAAAAGACGTAATTGAGATAAACTAATGAAGTACCCTTTTTGTTTCCCAAATGCTTAGTGTAGCTAATAGATTCTCAAGGTAAATTTAGTGATTGTAGCCCAAAGACTTAAATATTTTGGTGTGACAATGTGAGTACTATTAGAGGCATTACAAACATGCATTTCATATTGAAAGCAAAAATGCATTGGACTCAGTGTCAGGATCTAGCCCTTATCAGTTAAAACCTGAATGGGAAAAAATTTAAAGTTCTTCAAATTACTTTGTAAGCAGAACCTGTACTTAAAAAGTTTGACTAATTTTGATGTAATTAGATTATTCAAATTTTACAATTTAAGATGCTAAATGTAAATGCAGTATATAACAGTGAGCAGATATATCTATAAAAGGAAGCAGTAAGAAATAATTTGACTTCAGCATTCTGCATATGTAAGTCCTAGTCATTTCTGTAGAGGTTACTAGATAACTTCAGGTGTTGACAGTGGGTCAGTTCAGCTAAGAGGAGGATTTTACTGGTGTTGGTGGCTGTTGTCATAGGTTGGTAATGTGGCATTGCTGCATCCCATCACTGCAAGATGATGCAAAGGGGAAGAGTAGGGACAATAGAAGAATTGTATGTGAAAGGAATTCACATTCCCACGCAGGACCATAGCCAGCCAAACAAAGTGTGAATACATCAGCATGTGGAACTGTTGACCCCTGCATCTTGGTGCATCACTCTCCCACTTTCGTAAACGCCATCGTTTAGGTTTGATTAGGATGGAGAATCTGTAATGATGTAAAAACAGATATTGGAGACTGGGGACAAAGGCAGGATTCTTTCCTACATGATTTTGAAATACCCCGTTGAATAGCCTGCATTTTTAAAGATCTTATGACCATTAGAGACGGGGATTTATCATACAATCTATTATGAATGATTCATAGAATATCAGGGTTGGGAGGACCTCAGGACGTCTTCTAGTCCAACCCCCTGCTCAAAACAGGACCAATTCCCAGGCAGATTTTTACCCTAGTTCCCTAAATGTGTGGGGGCGGGGACAGCAAGAGGCAGATTTTTCTTTAGAGGAGCTGAGATGAGTAAGAGAATACCAATTGGAACGTCTTTTCCCCTCCTATCAGATGCTGCTATACCTGCTCCAAGAAATGCTGGGTCCCCCCCCCCCCCCGCAAGCTACCCAGCGAGGCATCCGCTCCTGATTTCATTTCACAGTCTTCTGCCTATTGAGCCCTTACAGCAGCAGCCAAGGGGAAATCAGTATTCCTATAAGCTAGGGGAAAGGTTGGGAAACTCCCCATCTGCTTTTACTTTTAAATCCTGGGTACCAGCTTGGATTAGATGAAACCACAGAGTTTTAAAACTTGGAGAGCATTATAAAAGTTAAACAGCACTGAAATTATTATTTCTGTCTCCTAGGTGGTAAAACAGGTACTGGAACAGTGTTGGCCAATGTAGGTGCTTGCAGCAGATATTCTTACCCCACCGTGACTCCAAAAGACTTTACAATGTGCAGAGACCGAAAACCAGTTTATATTACTGCAGTCACTTCTAATGAGTCTCCCTATTCTGCACCTTTCAGATTTGATATTTCTGACAGGAGTATGGGTTCAGGATGGCAAACAACACAACAAGATGGTATGCAATATTGTGTATTCTTTTTTAAAACAAGAATATTAATAGTATTAATTGCGAGATTTATTGTATCTTTTCAGTAAGCAGACTTGTGCCACTTTTTTGTATTTTTGACATACTTACAATAAGTATTTGGAGATTAATCAGACCATACCAGAGTCACAGAAAGCATGCAAACCCTCAGACAGGAAGTAGCAAAGCAAGATAGAAACCAGTATGATCAAATAGAAAGGTAGTTTATTTTAACCTAAAAGATATCCTTCAGAAAATGGAAGTCCAAGGAATAAAAAGGAACAATGCAGGCAAAAAGTCTGTAAGTTAGGAGAACTAAAAGCAATTTTGAAGAGCAAATAGCCAAATATCTGAAAACAAATAGGAAGATTTTTAAATATAAGCAAGAAAATTGTAAGAGGTAAGTCTGTTGGATTACAACGGAGTAAAGCGGACACTTAAGGGAGAATAAGGACATGGCAGAAATGCTACATTTCTTGGCATCACTCTTCACCAAATGAGGAAGTTAGGGAACCACCTACTTCAAATACTTCAAATTAGGGCCAAATTCAAGTTTCCTTTCTAATTCCCTAAACAGAACCCTCTATAGAATCTAGCATGCCCCTGACGTGTAGCCCAATGCTGTCCTCCTGCAGAGCCACCAGCTGAGGGTACCTGGAACAGAAAAGAGACGGAGAGGAGCTCCAGAGAGCTCTGTGCTCCAGCTATTCTGGCTTTGGAATACCCCTTTTGCAACAGTGGGGAAACTCCTGTAAGTTACAGCAGATACAGGGGCTGCTCTAACTACTCTGAGAGCCATGCTGGCACCTTGATCAACCCAGAAATAGGAAGGTGCAGAGATGGATGGTGTCTTCTGAGAAACACAGAATCTGAATCCCACTCATTTCAGATAAAGATGAGATTGAAGTGTCAAAAGAGGAAGTGATGGAATAAACTGAAAAACACAATAACAAAAGTCACCAGAAACTGCTGGTTTTTAAGAATGACATGGCCGAGCTGCGAACACAAATGTACAATATCTCTTTAAAATGAACGGTTATGCTGGAGGATTAGAAGGTACAACATGTTATACTGGAACTAGTCAAAAACAGATGGAAAAAATGTGTTTTGCCCTGATTATTTCCTGTAGCTCATCAGGAGCATCGGCTGGCATCTTCACTGTGAAAAACAAATATCATTTTAAATCAATAAAACTGAAAACAAACCATAACAAAACCTACCAAAGTTTCATACTACTGACCTTAAGAAGAGGTCTCACTATGCAGCTCTCACTTTTCATTTCCTGTTCTTAATGATTAACAAAGTATACTTAGAGAAGGGGTGTAAATCTTAGAAACATTTTTTGTTGTCCATGTCAGTGATAAAACTTAACTGTATGGTCCCGCACAGAATAACTGCTTTCCTATCCAGTAACTGAAAGCTAGAGAATTAAGCTCCAATCCTGCAAAGAGGTCTCTGTGGGCAGACCCTTACCCCTGAACAGTGTGTCACTGACTTCATTTAATACACCAGTGGCTTCAGCGGGATTTTATGTATTTAGGTGATATAGTCCATCCACTTGGATTCCTTTGTAGGGCTGGAGCCTTAGAAATGTCCTTTGCATCAGTTACAAAGAAAAGGTAACAATTTTTTAACATTCAACATTGGATTTGTTTTATCCTTTTTGCAGATAGATCTATATTACTTTCACCAAGGACTGATATTCCATTTGGAATATATAAAATTCCTATCAATGTGAGGGATAATGCCGGAAGACTAGGAACAACTATGGTTACAGTTAATTATTGTGATTGTACTACTCCAAGTGATTGTGGTATTGTCCGACAAAGTTCATCAGCTATTACTCTTGGTGTATGGGCCATCCTTGCAATGATTCTGGGATCACTATTACTGCTATGTAAGTATGCATTTATATGAAATGCAAAATATTCTCTTTTTAAAATTCGATACTAGTCTGTTTCGTAATAGACAGTGCCTCTTCTATTACGATTCTTGCATAGCCTGCATCACCATAGTATCTGAGCAACTTCCAGAAGTGTGTTAAATGATGTGATTAATATCTGTCACTTGTGGTTCTTTTTTTCTCTCTTCCTCCCTTGGGGGAGAGTTGATGTCGGAATTTTGTATAGTTATTTTTTAGGGCTGTGAAGCAGTGCCGGCTCTAGTTTTTTTGCTGCCCCAAGCAAAAAAATCTTTGCCTGCCCACTGTCCCAGTCCTGGGCTCTCTTCCCCTTCTCCTCCCCCCCCCGCCCCCCACACACACCTGCACCCTCCTTCCGCCGCAGCCTTGGGTCACTGGTAACTCGCTCCCAGGGCAGGTCATTCAGCAGGAATTTTAGATGTGCACAGAACAGACAGGATTGGTTCCCATATGGTTACAGAACTGCAGTAAAGTGGAACAATTTTCGGCTTGTGTGATTGGAGGATATCTGGATGCATATTATAAGACTGTCCTACATAAATGAGGAAAAGTTGAGGTGCCTTTATTATTCTTTTGCTCCATTCTTTGTTTCTATGGGGAATTTGCCAATGCGATATCACTGTCTTCCTTTTAAACAAACAAACAAACAAAAAAGGCAATGGCTGTTGAAAATAGTAATTCCAGTCCTAATAAGCACTGGGAAGCATTTCTTGCTCAATTTTATCCTACTTTTTCTACAGCAAGTTACAGTGGATCAGTATATTTGATTTGGGAGAAATGAAGTAACAGCCGCCCAAACTGAGCTTGAGCACTCCTGAATTTTGAGGTGTTCAAATCTGGAAGGCAGGTGGGGGGGGAGGGGGAGGCTGTGGCTCCGCAGGGGAGCACGGCAGCATGTATGCAGCAGTGTATCTGGCACTGCGCGAAGCCAAACACGCTGGTCTGAGTGGCACGGTAAGGGGGGTTTTGGGGGGGCAGTCAAGGGACAGGGAGCAGGGGGGGTTGGATGGGTCAGGGGTTCGGGGGGGGGCAGTCAGGGGACAGGCAGCAGTTGGATAGGCATGGGAGTCCCAGGGGTTTGTCAGGGTACAGGTAGGGGGAGGGGTCCTAGTGGGGAAGTTGGGGAGGGGTCTCAGGAGGGGGCAGTTGGGGACAAGGACCAGTGGGGCTTAGATAGGGGGTGGGGTCCTGGGGGGCAGTTGGGGCAGGGGTCCCGGGAGGGGATGATCAGGGGACAGGGTGCAGGGGGGGTTGGATGGGTTGGAGTTTCTGTGGGGGGCAATCGGAGGGAGTGGATGGGGGCAGGGTGGGGCTACCCTCCCTCCCCATGGAGTGTCCTATTTTTTGAATGTTAAAACATGGAATCCCTACTCACAGTGCAGCTCTCCATTCAAAGCAGGCTGCAGCATGAGGTCTCACCTTCCTCACTCCCTCCCCCTCTTTCCTGTTGGTAGTGGCCAAGGGAATGCTGGGAAATGTAGTTATTTCCCTCCTCCAGGGCTGGCTCTATAGGCAGGGAGCTAACCAAGGAACTACAGCTCCCAGGGCCCCCTGTTGGTTCTCAGATCCCATGTTAGATCCCTGCTGCCGCTGCAAATGGGCTGCCCCAAGCACCTGCTTGCTTTGCTGGTGCCTAGAGCTGCCCCTGCTGTCAAGCTAAATAGAATACCATTTATTTAAATATTTTTGGATGTTTTTCTACATTTTCAAATATATTGATTTCAATTACAAAACAAGATACAAAGTGTACAGTGCTCACTTTATATTTTTATTACAAATATTTGCACTGTAAAAAAACAAGAAATAGTATTTTTCAATTCTCTCATTACAAGTACTGTAGTGCACTCTCTTTATCATGAAAGTTGAACTTGCGGGAGATAATGCTGCCTGTTTCTTGTTTACAATGTCATGTGACAGTCAGAAAAGGCATTCGCATGGCACGGTTGTAGCCAGAGTCGCAAGATATTCACATGTCCCTTCTTGTTTCAACCACCATTCCGAGGACGTGCGTCCATGCTGATCACAGGTTCTGCTTGATAACTATCCAAAGCAGTATGGACCGATGCATGTTCATTTTCATCATTTGAGTCAGATGTCACCGGCCCCCAGATGGTTGATTTTCTTTTTTTTGGTGGTTTGGGTTCTGTAGTTTCCACATCAGAGTGTTGCACTTTTAAGACTTTTGATACCATGCTCCACACCTTGTCCCGCTCAGATTTGGAAGGCACTTCAGAGCAAGGGTCGAGTGCTGTATCTATCTTTAGAAATTTCACATTGGTAACTTCTTTGCGTTTTATCAAATCTGAAGTGAAAGTGTTCTTAAAACGAACAGCATGTGCTTGGTCATCATCCAAGACTGCTATAACATGAAATATATGGCAGAATGTGAGTAAAACAGAGCAGGAGACATACAGTTCTCCCCCCAGGAGTTCAGTCACAAATTTAATTAACGCATTACTTTTTTAACTTGCGTCTTTGGGATGGAAGCATGTCCTCTGGAATGGTGGCCGAAGCATGAAGGGCCATACACATGTTTAGCATATCTGGCACATAAATACCTTGCAGTGCTGGCTACAAAAGTGTCATGCAAATATCTGTTCTCATTTTCAGGTGACATTGTAAATAAGAAGCGGGCAGCATTATCTCCTGTAAATGTAAACAAACTTGTTTGTCTTAGCAATTGGCTGAACAAGAAGTAGGACTAAGTGGACTTGTAGGCTCTAAAATTTTACATTGTTTTGTTTTAGAGTGCAGTTATCTAACAAAAAAATCTATATTTGTAAGGTGCACTTTCATGATAAAGAGAATGCACTGCAGGACTTGTATAAGGTGAATTGAAAAATACTATTTCTTTTAGCATTTTTACAGTGCGAACATTTGTAATAAAAATACTATAAAGTGAGAACTGTAAACTCTGTATTCTATGTTGTAATTGAAATCAATATATTTGAAAATGTAGAAAAACATTCACAAATATTTAATACATTTCAATTGGTATCCTATTGTTTAACAGTGCGATTAAAGCTGCAATTAATCTTGATTAATTTTTTTGAGTTAATCTTGTGAATTAATTGCGATTAATTGACAGCCCTAGTTTTTGCACACCAGAGTATTCAGGGGCTTCAAATTTGCTGGTCACTAATCACACTTAATATTTTATCTCCAGACACAAATCCAAATACTTTATCAATACTGGACTGTGCACATATTCCTCTGACACATACAACAATCCAGTACCTGTATACTCAAGAAGCTTTTTCATTTTATTTTCCCTTGTGTAGTAATCCTGATTACACTATGTGGCTGTTATGGCACGGGGGCAGTGAGTAAACATGTGCCTGATGATTTAGCTAATCAGAACTTAATTATATCAAACACAGAAGCACCAGGAGAAGAGGTGATGGTGAGTAGTGTTTTTATTTATTTAATTGTAGGAACATGTAATGAAGGTATTGTAATCACCACAGTATGACATGGAGACCCTTTGCAAATTTGTGAATCAGTGAGTTAGTGAAACAATAAAAAGCTAGGATAATGCATTTGTAAATGTATTGTTCATTTGAAAAGCATGGTTTAATTTTTAAATAGAGGGATGGGTTAAATAGGAAAAGGAATAGGGGGCTCAAATCTTGAGGTGGGGGTGTAGTAGAGGGAGACCCGGACAGGCTGTGGGGACATGGACAGAAGAGTCTTATAACTAGGACACACTCTCCTCCCTAACCTGGAATTAAAACCAGAAATCCTGAGTCTTTACACATTCCCCTGCTGTAAGCAAGTATATGATTAAACCACTGGCAAATTCTCTTTCTTTCTCTCGCTTCTAGTGGCTGGTCCATACAGGGGATAACAGCATGTAACGGCTATCAGTTACTCTCTTAGCACATGTGGTTAAAAGACCATGAAAGTTGTAAAATCAAGCACTCAAGTTTGGAAATGCCAGAATTGCAAGGGGAACATTCATTCTGCAAAATGGCAAAGTCACTAAACACCTGAAGCTTCTAAGGCTGGGCTCATGCTGCTGTAGCAGCACTGTTACCACCATGGGAACACCTAGGAGCTGCCAGAGCAGCTGTGCCATTGGAGATAGGTCAGGGATGAGACCTGGCTCTTTTTCCTGACACAGTTTCAGTAACCTGTGAGCCCCCTCTCAGGGCAGCACCCTTACCTCCCAGGGTCAGGGGGTGGGGTGGGAAGGAAGAAGAAGGAAAAACCTGACCAGGCTCCCCTCGTCCCCCTCCAAAAAAAAACCACCCCAAAACAAACCCCAAATTGCCATGGCTCAGCCTAGTTCCCCTTCTTGGGACACTATGCAGGGAAGGAGCTCCCCAAACTGTGTGTGTGAGTGGAGAGATGAGGTGAAAGGGAGGTGAGAACTGAGCCAGGGCTCTCCACACCCAGCCATCCTCAAGACTCAGTCTATCTCCCCCCTGTGGAATAACAGCTTTCTGCTGCTACCTAATGTTGCTCAGGTAATATCAGTCCATGCTGAAGGCTCTGGATTCAAATCATAATCGTGCACCATTTGGGGGTATGGGGAGGTGTTACAGTTGCACAGTAGCAGTTTTTTCCTATTAAAAAGTTAATCACATTTAAAATGTTACTTAGGTTTCAAAAAGTTAGGAAATGTCAGATTTATGATGGCCTATTTAAGGTTACACAGGCATCCTTGTGCCTAGGCATTGTGAAAGTCTTTAATTATATGATCATATACAATTTTTTCTACAGGACTCCAGCCTCATTCAGTGCAAAGACTGAAATGCCCAAGGGAACAGAATGAAGGTTGCACAAGCAACTATAAATTTGGCTTTGCAACTTTTTAGTGCTTGACTTTGCAACCTAAATAACATTATTTTATTTATGTAACTTTATAGCATACTAGCAAATGATCTGTAATATGAAAGTATCTGAGTGCTTTTTGCTTCCCAAAGTGGTCCTTGTAGGAAGCTCTCTAAATTATATGCATATAGAGGCCATCAACTGCCCATGATTTATGCACAAACTTCTTTAGACATCAGTGAGAGTGCTCAGCATGGATTCAGTACAATACTGTAGGCACACAGAATGAGACATTTCAGTTTAAGCACTGACCATTTCCAAGTCCTGTATCCTTTTGAAATGATCTGTCCAAAAGCAAAGGTGATAAAGGAAATATTTCTTTGTTAGAAAAATTTACATCTGAAGTATTTTGGTAAGATTTTTCCCCCCCCTTCCCCACTATTATCTTTGCTTTTAGGATCCAAATATCATTCCTCTACAAGCTGCAACTGTAAATTCTTGTGATCAAGGGGTTGGCATGGGCACAATAGGACATGAAGTAAAAACTGGGGGACAGAGTTTTGAAATGTCCAAAGGAGGACATCAGACCCTGGAATCAGTCAGGGGATATGGACAGTCCACGGTGGAACAAGGCAGATACTCATACTCAGAATGGCAGAATTTCATGCATTCTCGTCTAGGTGAAGTAAGTATTTTGATATTTGTCTCCGGTATCATACTGTTTGAATTTACGACAGTTCTCCCCACCCCACCCCACCCTACCCCCACCCCTTTGACGATTGTTAGACCACTCTTTGAGCAAAACTATCTCCAATTACCCCCAAAGAGAAACACACCAGAATAGTTTTTAAGCAGAACTATTATTTTCCATTTGGAATATGACTGCTGTGTGTCTGTGCACAGATGTACTTGCTTTTGGTCTAACTGTCCATTGTACTGATTTTATCTAAATGCTTCCAAGGGATAAAATTGAATGCCTTATGTACATGCTGGATGTGGTGCACGTATTGCTGTGCAACATTAGAAAATGTATGTACACCATGCACCAAAAGACAAGTTTTATGTATAGGGCCCTACCAGTTTCCTGGCTGTGAAAAAGATGTCACGACTGTGAAATAAGCCCTTCCCTGTGAAATCTGATCTTGCCATGCTACTGGGAGCGCCCTAGCCTGGGGAGGGACAGGACTTGTCCATCCCCTGCACGGCTGCTTAGGGAGGGGGGAAATGAGATCAGACCCACCTCCTGGGTATCTTTTGGTTACAATACCATGAAATTTCAGATGGCTGAAAACGTGAAATTGACCAACTTTAAAACTCTCTGGCTGTGAAATTGATCAAAATGGACCATTTGGTAGGGCCGAATTTGTGTAAATCATGCTTTTAATCTTGTTTTCAAATGGATTTAATTGTTTAACAGGTTAACCAGTTTCTTCACATTTTATTATGTGTGTGATCAGTAGAAAATGATTTTTGTTAAATACTTATTTTATAGTATGAATTATATAGACCAATCATGTGCATTTTTTGTATGTAGGAACCCATTAGAGGACACACTCTGATTAAAAATTAAACAATGAAAGGTAAATCAAAAATTATTTTTATGCCATACGTTTAGGATAACAGTTAAAGAAAACTAATAGTATGTTTTTCTTTTTATGCAGAAGGTGTATATGTGCAGACAGGATGAAGAAAATAAGCATTCTGAAGACTATGTCCTTCCATATAACTATGAAGGAAGAGGATCATTGGCTGGTTCTGTAGGCTGCTGTAGTGATCAGCAAGAAGTGGAAGTGCTTGACTTTTTAGATCAGCTGGAACCCAAGTTTAGGACATTAGCAGAAACATGTGTAAAGAGATAAGTGTGCCTATCAGAGTACTGAAATCTGTAAATAAATGGTATTGTCGTGCTTTTCAGAGGCTAGATATTTTTAAACTTGAATGTATTCTGTATTTTTTTTTCTTGCTAAGGGAAGTGGTTTACAAAATATATTTAGGGTTGTTATAAGGATGTAAATCCTGCATTAATTCTGCAGTACATAATAATTTTTGGCCTGTACTCATTACCTATGCTTTAAAGTTTATATCTTAGGTGTTTCTTTTAAAATGATGTGAATACAATAATATTGCATTCTACTTAGCATTATATTTTCTATTGTGTTTACTTTTAATACAAGACTTTAGTGTATTCCTTATTTTAAGTATTCACCTTCAAATTTTTCATTTTATTTGGCTTGAGAGGTGAAAAGCTTTATTTCATTCATCTTTTCTCTTCATAGGAAAAATAGTATATCAAAATAACTTGTTTTAATGTATTACCTGTACAAATTGAGATCCAAGACTTTTTAATTTTACAAGTAAAATTTCAGACTAAGATACTAGAGGATTACGTTGGAAAAAACTTCGGATGGAAAACAAAAATGAAAAACTAGTATGTAGTGTATATATGTAACAATGTTCAAAAGTATATTTCCTCCTATTGGACTAGTGCCCACCAAATGTACTATCCCAGGGGATGTAGATAAGTATTGTATGTAAGCACTTTAAGTAATACACTTGGAGAACATGAGTTCAGGATATAGGGATAACTATTGTACTGCACTTGCATTACAATAGACCCCATATCTTGAACTCGTGACCGCCAGAAGTATTACTTATCGTGTTCTAGATATAATTTGAACCTCAGCTGTTTGTGAGCTTTAGTATAACCACATCAGAGATGGGGAATACTGCTAAAGTTTTATACAATGTGGCTACTCATGCCTACTGTAAAATTCAGGTTAGGTGTGTGTCGCTGGAGGTGAGGGGGAAAAAAGGACCCCAAGGCAAAGGAGGCAGTGACAACTTGATTTATAATCATATTGTGGAATCAGTCATTTATTTCTGTGAGCAGAAGTGACACAAAATATAGCATAAAACTGGACACAGACAGCATTGATAATTTAAAAAAAAAATCAAGTATGATTCCCACTGTTATGGACAGTAAATATCCTACTATTTATTAATATGACGAGTTGTAACTTACTCACAGGTACAAATATAGACAGATCCCGAAGGAAAATTAACAAATATATTGCTCAAGCATAATTAAAGTTAACCTATTACGATACTTTAACACTGTACTGTATATAAGATTGTGACCTCATGATTGTGATAGTAAGATATAAACCACCAATTCCTGAATTGAGTAAGTCTTCAGCTGGTTAATATTTTCTATCCTGGGTAAATTATTCATCTTTGATGTGCTCCCAAGATTCTTTTGTGCATTAAATAAATTTCCCTTGTATTATAAAAAAAAGAGAAACTTAAGGTTTGTGTTTTTTTGTCTTTTAAATGCTGCTTTTAGGAGTTGCTCTGTAAACACATGCCTTAGGATGGAAATAGTTTTTAACCTGTATATATGATTTTTTTTAAAACAAGTTATCCATGACAATAAAGGGTCATGTTGCTCAATGGAGAACTGCCATTGATGACAATGAGAATTCCACACATGACTACAAGTCAATGCAAAACCCTAATTGTCTGAAAAACTGCAAAAGGTAGATACAAAGCTTTACACTTTAAGTAACATTTTATCTATCAGACTGTAAGTAGACTTCAGAATATTTCTAATAAGATCTAATTGTGATAAATAGTCTTCACAAGGATGAAAATGTTAAAGGTATTCTAGATTATCAGTAGGCTGTTTGGCAGTGGAGCTGAATTTACCCTGAGCAACGTTAACTGCCAACACTAAAGGCAAGACCGTCACTGAGATCAAAGATTTTAATAAGATCCAAGGTATTCTGAACTAGTCTTGTTACAGTAAAAGTAAATCCTGATGGCATTGCTACTCACCCACACCAGTGAGTTTCTTTGTATGTTAAGGGCCAGGTCCTCAGCCAGTGTAAATTGGCATACCTCCATTGATGCAAATGGAGCTATGCTGACCTCACACCAACTGAAGATGAGGCCCTAAGGAACTTATTATTAGTTTCTCTGTTTTCATATACAATATCTTCAATGTTAGGTGTAGATATTTTAAGATGACTTGATTTCCTCTTCCCTTTAGACTTCTTATTATTATTATTATTTTTTTAGCTATAAGAAAGCCTTTGACTCATGAGGGTCCATGGTAAATGTAACCACAAACAAAAAAACCAACACACCAGTCTTTTATAAACACTGAATATAAAAAGTAAAATTCCAGAGCTATGTTTTCATTATTCAAGAAGACACCAGAGTAGTACTCTGTTTAAAAATTAGGGCCAAAAAAATTCATCCTTGGTGTGACTTAATTGAATGTATTGGAGCCAAAAGCATGTTACCAATCTAATTTACATTCACCATTTATCCTGTTTGATTATTTTGTACATTTTACTCAGCTTGGACAATTCAAATAAAATGAGTCAGTTTCACTTGTACATTGCTGCATGCATTGCTTGAATAGCAGGTGAATGTTTAAATCCAAATAAACCATTTTCCTTTAACTTTACTATTCATTTTTGTAAAGTATTTTTGTTACTACCAAGCCTAAATGTGGTGCCATAGCTACCTGGTAGTGTTCCTGTTAAATTTGGTAATCTTATGCTAAAAAAGGTAATAGCCTACACTAGGAAAATAATTTTAAAATAGATTGTCTAATCGAATTTGTATAAACCGTAAAACTTATAAATCTTAAAACAAAAACTTAACTATAAAAAAATTGCACTAAGCACACAGTATTTGAAAATGTATACTTCACTGATTGTTACGGTCTTGGATGACTTGTTCTCTCCAACTAGGTAATTTCAAAAACTGTCTAGTTGTGTAAACATTATCTTGTTTAATGTCGTCATTTTTAAAAATATTTTGTACAACAGTGAGTAATAAAATGGATTTTTGGAAAATAAAAGGACTGCAAAAGTAGTTCATTTCTTGTATACTAGAAAAAGAATAGATGTAGACCTGAATCTATGCAGTATCAATTAAAATATGCACTGTTACAAGTTAGCCATGGAGTTTACCTGATCTAATTATGGGAACTACTGTAGTTAAATACTTTTCTAATATATAAAACAACTAAATGGAAAACTACTTACCTACCACACCTGGGCCAAACAGCTCACTGATTTTTATGCAGAACTCCTCTTTGAAACCAATGGAGAATTCTGGTTAAAAATGGCTGGCATAGTGTGCAGGAACAGCGAACCGTGGCCACTGGGAGCTGCAGGGGTCCATGCCTGCGGACAGTCAACGTAAACAAAATGCCTCGTGGCTCGCCAGCGGATTACCCAGATGGGCTGCATGCTGAAGGTTGCTGACCCCTGCTCTAGTCTGGAAGGTCCAAATTGATATTACTGTTTTTTAAAAGACAGCCCTATTCAGAGACTGAAAGAAGTTTGTCTTCAGCTGATACCCAGGTGTGGTAGGTTGAACTTTACAACCCCCAGGCAGTCAGACAACTTTCTAATGATTTCAAATAGCTGGAATAAGTAACTTAGTCTATGTACGGCATTAATTTTGTATCCGCAACACTTTACCAAATAGCTGCCTGAGAAGGAAACGAGAAAAGATGAGTGGGGCAAATGGAATGAAATAAGATTCTACAGAGCCTTACATAAGTATGTCACACTGCAGTCCGATAACTCCCATGCAAAAGACCACCCATGTAAGTTATGGTTTGCCCTCACTTCAAGCTAAGTCCTTGTTTCTGTCACAGGCACTTCTAGTAAGTGAAGAGATGATTTTGAGTCAAAAGACTATTTTCCCAGAGGCAGAAATGCAGGTGATTGGGGTAGCTATATTTCCAATGGAGATGGGTTTCAGAATATTCTAACTACAGTACAAGTCAAGCTTTGTGTCTTTGCCCTTTTTCCAGTTCAGTTCTGCTAACATGGTATGTAAACAAATATTGCTGCCTCCACCCTAATGTTTGCTCCATATCATCCCTGAAGTATTTAAATTCAACCAGAAAACCTTTGGGAATTTCAGTTGAAACAAAGTGATTCGGATCCTCTCCATGCCTCACAAAATGGACTATGGCTCAAAAAGCCTTAATGTAACCCCAAGACCTACAAAAATTATTGAAATAATATTAAGGTTACAACTCAAGTATTTAGAAGTTATTAAATGCCAGACTTCAGTTTGTAGTGTCCAACTGCTTCACAAACATATCCTCACAATACTGAAAGAGGCAGGTAATTAGATTGTATTGTAGTAAATATACAAAAGGGGTCAAATTGAGGCTGCACAGGCAACCCTTAAGTCTGACATTTCGTAACTTTTGAGTGTGACTTTGCAACCTTTTTAATACAATTTTTGGATGCTATTCCAAGAGCAAACTGAAAAAAGCTATTCAAGTGTGTGGAATCACATTGACATCCACCTGGCGTCTGCAGTGTTGGAACCTTTTGACCTACTGCACAGATCTGTCTCTTGAGCTAATGGAGTAACTGGCAGCAGTAGTAAATTGCAGACCAGTCCCTAAAGGGGAACGAGGCACGCACTTTTACAGTGAGCATCAGAATTGGTTGCTGATACCAGAGGACTGGTGAGACTTGGGAATCTTTTTGAGTTCCTTTACAGGTTCTGGAGGGGATTTTGCAATACTAGCCAGATGCATTCCCCTCTTCCTCCCACCCCAAGCCTGACACCTGGTCTGTGTTCCCTCCAGGCTGTCCCTGCACCAGTTTTGTCTTATTTGCTCCCCCAACACAGGCTCCTAGTCTCCTCCCTCCCTATCCTACCCAATCTTCTTCCCAACCCCAAGTCCCAGTCTTCTTACCCAGCAAGTACTAGTCTTGCACGCGCACACAGGCGCGCCCAGGTCCAAGTCTCAATCTTTCCATCTCTCTCCCACGCCCAGTTTTGTTCTTGTCCTCTCTGCCTTTGTGTCACGCAGATTCTTCCCTCAGACTGTCTAGGTGCCAGCCCAGGGGAGCATTGAGAGCACAGGAGAGAAACTCCCTGATCTCAGTGTTGGTGGCCAGTGCTGTCTGGGCCAACAATTTTAGGGAAAGTCCTGCTTAACACTCTGTAGCTCTGGGATAGAGCATGTTCAGCATAGATGGACTCTTCTGAGAATTCAGCTACCAAACTCTAAGCAAGGCCGGCTCTAGGCACCAGCTAAGGAAGCAGGTGCCTGGGGCGGCACTCCGTCCGTTCTTGGGGCGGCGCTGTACTTTTTTTTTTTTTTTTCCCCCCCCCCCTTTCAGCAGCAGTTCGGTGGTAGCTTTTTCATTTTTTCTTCTTCAGCGGCACTGCTGCGGTTGTTTTTTGTTTTTTTTTTTCCCCTTTGCTTCGCCGCTTGGGACGGCAAAAAAGGTAGAGCCAGCCCTGACTCTAAGATATCTCTGAGCATATGCAAACAGCAATTTTTCAGAGGCTCGTCAATTGTTCAAGTTTTCACAGTAACAGCAGGAAAAAAAACCAACCCTCTAACACTATCTCTGATGCTAGGGTTTATCCCTTTCCCCCAAAAATTTCAAGCCCGTTATCCAAAGCATGGAGGTGCTTAAACTTCTCAACAAAACTGTGGTAAATGCAAGAAATCAACACCAGTGTTAACCAAATAAGGGGAAATCTGATGTGGCTGAACCCAAAAAGTCCAGCTTGAGGAAATTTCAGCCTGAAAATTTGACCAGGATCTAAGCAAATTGAAACAGTCTTACAATGGGAAGACTTAAGCAATCTTAATTATAGGTGGCGCTACCAGCTCCATCTATAATTCTTCTACCCCAAATTATGGCATTTAAACTATCACAACCATATCACATGAATGTCTTAACAGCTGAGCTAGGCCATGGTGCCATTATCATCCCCTCTTTATCCACTTTGGGAAGATTATTACCACCACCATATCAAACAGTGTATGTGGACTGAAATTCTGGCTAGCTTCTGCACAAAGACATGAGGTGGGAAGTGCTTTGCACTATTTACATGCTACCTCATCAAAATGTCTTTAGATCCAGTCACAATTTGGTCCTTAGTCTGTTTTAATTCTAGTCAGCACTATATCACCTGACTAAATTAATACAAACAAGTTAAAGTTAAGCACATGGCAACTAGATGAAGGAGGTGACAAGAAACATTCAGCTAATAAAGGCTACATCCTTCCTTCAGTCCATTCCTAAGCTCTCTGGTATCCAAAGGAGCTGTGCATATTGAATGAGGGCACAATAGGCAGGTTTTTTAAAACCTTCCACAAAACTTTGGAATAGCTAAACTGCCACTAAAGCTTTTTGTTTGAGAGGCAGCAGCACTTCTATTTCTTTATAGCATATCCTTTAGTCAGCAGCTAGTGATCTCGCTGCACACATTTCTACAGTAGTTCCTTAACAACTTGCATAATTAAAATTTGCTAATGCAATAAAAATAGTGACCGGAGATGAAAGCCATCAAAATGAAAGTTGAAAGACCACACTACCATATGTGTAGCGGTACCCCTTCCTATTTGTTCACAAACATCCATCGGTTTTATAACGTTGTTATGAACAGGACACTAATGTTATGAGGAAAATAAGTTGCTATAGATTTTAAGCCTGGTCCACAGTGCTAGAACCTTTTCTGTAACCACTGTGTCTAAGTGATACTTTTCCTGCTGAGATCTGCTCTAGTCAAACAATGCTATTTACTTCTCCCCTGGATATTCTGTGCTAGATGTTTCTTTTTTATAATTGTGACATATAAAAAGAAATGGATATTTAGCAATTTAAATTTTCACAGTGGTGGGAAATTATTTAATGACAGTAGATGTTGAGATTCAAAAAGTTAAAGCTTTGCAACTGTTCAAACAAATTGTCAACATCATGTAAACATATACACAGAAAACAGAGCTAAACATTTTTCTTACTTCAGTGAATTTTGATGATTATCGATGGAAATATTTTTTCGTCATTTGGCGTGTGTCTGGGGAAATTGACATTTACTGATAAAAATCTAATCCTTCCAAGCATCTATAGCATAGATTGCACTAGCCTGTAACATGGTTTTGGGGGGGGAGGGAGAGATGAAACTCAGTTCACGCTTGTAAGGGAAGTGGAGATAGCAGCATGCCAGCAACAACTGTATTTAAACATGGTGGTTGTTAGTACTACATTCCAAGGCTGTACACATACAGTAGGTGACTTCATATGTGAGCAGGATATTGATTGCTGAAACTATCAGATGGTACATAACACCTGATCATCCATAACCATTCTCACTAAAATCATTTAATTTCATTTTTCTTCATTTCATTTTTTTCCACATATCCTTTGAGAATATCTTTGCACTTACCTCATTTAATTAGAATATATTATATAAAACAAAAACTTAAAGATCAAAATATGACTCGGAGCCCCTGGCTTGGGAAGAGCACCAACTGCTCTAATGGCAGTGAAAGGATACATGAAGTGTATGTTATGTCTGTGTAAGGCATAATGCCCCTAGGGATATTTTTAAGTAAGTGTGGCTTGCCCTACTCCCAGTACTCACCTTCTAGTACAGAGGTCGGCAACCTTTCAGAAGTGGTGTGCTGAGTCTTCATTTATTCACTCTAATTTAAGGTTTTGTGTGCTAGAAATACATTTTAGCATTTTTAGAAGGTCTCTTTCTATAAGTCTATAATATATAACTAAACTATTGTATGTAAAGTAAATAAGGTTTTTTAAATGTTTAAGAAGCTTAATTTACAATTAAATTAAATTAAAATGCAGAGCCCCCCAGACCGGTGGCCAGGACCCGGGCAGTGTGAGTGCCACTGAAAATCAGCTTGTGTGCCGCCTTTGGCAGGTGTGCCATAGGTTGCCTACCCCTGTTCTAGTACTTATCTCTATAGAGGTGGGGAGGGATAAGGTCCTGGCCACTCTACCCCTCTACTCATGTATGCCCTCTCTGGAGTGGTGATTACTGCTGGCAGCACTAGCTGGCCCATTCCAGGCACTCCTGATTGGAGCACATGCATTATGGCACGGATATGCTGGGTGGAGGGAACTCTCCACAACTTCTCTTGCACCTGCACAAAGCCAG